GTGGCCGCTCCTGGCCACCGCAGCCTCGACCTGCTGGGCTCCGGTGATCCTTCCTCCTCAGCCTTCCAAGTAGCCAGAATTACAGGTATGCGTTACCACGCCCGGCTGATTTTTTAATTTATTGTAGAGATGAGGTCGGGCTGCCCAGGCGGGTCTCGAACCCGCGGGCTCAGGCGATCCACTCACCTCAGCCTCCCAAAGGCGCGGGATTACAGGCTGAGCCACCGAGCCCGGCTGAAATCTAACATTTACCCTATAGTAACTTTCAGCGAAATAGCACCTGCACTCAACTGAATCTGGCTGGAGATAAGTGCACAGTCATATTGATGGTCTCACTTTGAATCTAGAACCACAAACCTCAAGGGCACCCTCGGCAATGCCTAGCAATTCTACTACATTGCCCTGCTTGACTCATTTCTCAGTTCGTGCAGATGATTATTTCACAACTTTTCCTCTTGCCTTAGAGAGCCAGTACCTCTTTCCACATTCTCCCTCTCACTGAGGAGTTTTCTCACTGAGAAAATAGTAGCCATCAGGAAACTCGCATGTATTCCCTCCCTCAAATCTGCCAACTGATCAACACATGCCTTGTTTTCCTTCCTGTGCAAACGATCTGTCTTTGCTCCCGAGGCCAACCCTCCACCGGTGCCCTGAATCTCATCCCCTCTCACCTACTCAAAGACTTGCCTCTTGCAATTATTCCTTCTTTCTTACATCATCGACTTTTCTCTCTCTACTTGATCATTTGTATCAACTTATAAATATGCAGTTTACAAATATTTCCCATCTTAAATAAAGAAGAAGCCGGGTTCGGTGGCTCAGCCTGTAATCCCGTGCCTTTGGGAGGCTGAGGTGAGTGGATTGCCTGAGCCCGCGGGTTTGAGACCCACCTGGGCAGCGAGACCTCATCTCTACAATAAATCAAAAAATTAGCGGAGCATGGTAGCGCGCGCCTGTAATTCCGGCTACTCGGAAGGCTGAGGCGGAAGGATCTCTGGAGTCCAGCAGGTCGAGGCCGCGGTGGCCGGGAG